TGTAAAATGAAAACGAAAATTATATTATTATTAATACAGTGTGGGATTACTTATGGATCGCTAAATATGTCAACATATCTAAGTATTACGCTGAAGTGTAACCGTTGAAATTTAAATCTTTATTAATGAAATGAAGATGGGGAGAAAACTTTCTGTTTCGGATTTTGCAAATGGAGCTAAAATCGTTCGTATAGATATTAATATACAACGAACTTCATTGTAAGGTAATAATTTTGACCAAACCATTTGCTAAAAGAGTTTTTGCATCCATTATTTACAATGAAATACTGATGCCACAATGGACCAGTTTCACATGGTGCTATAGAGAATGATGTTGAATCGACCTTCGATTAATCTAAAAGAATGCTTTATGTTTATTCGGAATTTATTGGGCCACAAATCCCAAACGATAACCCTAGCTTAGGTTTACCTAAATGAACAAACACAAGTTTCCTTTTCCTTTCCCTATCAAAACATAAAAATGGAAGTAGTCCTGTTTTGCTCCAAAAGTCATATTAATAGTTTAAATCAACTTTTTTAGTTTTATAGAAGTTGTTGAACCTTGCTTTCGCAACTTGGTTATATTACTAGGGAGACCTAAATAAATGCACTAGTCCGGAGTACATAGTATGCGCTATAATATCTAAAATCAGACCATGGACGTGGTATATTTCCAGACATTTTGCTGGCATTGTAAAAGGATCGGCTTCACTTGTCTCTGACGAGTTGTAGTGTTGTGCTGAGAATGGCAAGGGTCACTGACGATGCCGATTACGATGCCAGCTATGACGCCGATGAGACGTCCAGGAGTGTGCCACGTCCACGGTCCGAATCTGGAAATTGTCATGCATACTATGGACTACGGACTAGGTGAGACCAAGGTCTTCATACCATCGATTAAGGCAGTCTCCTTTAGTTGTATAGAGGTTGTTAAACATTGTTTTCCCAACTTGGTCATATTGGTAGGAAAATTTAGAGGAACGCACCTAGTCCGGAGTCCATTGTATGCATTGTCATTTCCAAAGTCGGACCGTGGACGTGGTACTTTCCCAGACGTTTCTCCGGCATCGTAGTCTGCATCGATTACATCGAAATATGCACACAGAAATTGTAATAGTGAAGGTTTGATAGGAGGATATAGTAAATGTGAATAGCCTAGGGCAGAAGGGGAGATACCACAACTGATTAGCACACGTTTGGTCAAAGGATCGGCTTCACTTGTCTCTGATGAGTTGTTGTGTGGTGCTAAGAATGGCGAGACTCACTGCCAAAGCCGACTATGATGCTGGCAAAACCTCTGGGAATGCACCACGTCCACGGTCCGACTTTGGAAATGATCATGCATACAATGGACTCCGGACTAGGTGTGTTCCTCTAAGTCTTCCTACCAGTATTGCCTAAAGTTGTTTAATTGTTTGCAGGATTCAAATTTACTATTACATTATTATTATTACATTTTTAATTATTGTGTAATTCTCGCTGGGGTTATTGTGCAGATATTGGTATGCGATAAAAACCCTTTCTATTTACTCCTAATAAAATATAATAAATTAATATGAGATGTATTCACCCAATTTCGTTAAAGGTGATGATATGAGTATAGCTGACGTTTCCATTGAATTTCGCTTTCCCAAAAGTTGTTGTCATCTAAGGTGGGCTGCAGTTTCGACTTCGCATCGGTCTTATCAACACCCCCAGCGGGAGTCGAACCATGACAGTGCAAAATGGGAGCTTGACACGTTAACCACTCGACCACATTGCCAGGAGTTCCATCATCACCTTAAACGAAATTGGGTGGATACATCTCATATTACTGATTTACTTGAAGTCTTGAAACTCTACTTAAATACCTAAAATAAATAACGTAGTCGATTGTTATAGCAAATATACATTTGCTTCATCGACAATCCCACCAAAGAATATTATAAGACAAAAGGCCTGGCCTTCTTTCAAATTCACAGTTGCCCTGTGACCCACAAACACTCGTGGCAATGTGGTCGAGTGGTTAACGTGTCGAGCTCCCATTCTGCACTGTCAGGGTTCGACCCCCTCTGGGGGTGTTGATAAGATCGATGCGAGGTCGAAACTGCAGTCCACCCTGGATGACAACAACTTTTGGGAAAGCAAGGCTATGTGGAATTCAATGGAAACGTCAGCTCTACTCATATCATTGTGTAAAAATTCTTCTACCTGTCCATTATCACCTTAAACGAAATTGGGTGAATATATCTCATATTACTGATTAACTGATAGTCTCGAAAATCTACTTGAATACAAAATATAATAAATTAGTTTTTATTTTCATTGTAAGTTGATTTATAAACTATCCTTTATCATAAGTTATTATTATTTTTTAGTCTTCATAGAAACTGGTATTCGTATGACGCTGATGGACTACTAATTGATTACGATGGAAGTCTCAGGGGTCATCTAGTCCCTTGCAAAAGAGCAGTTCCCTTTCTTCCCTCTAGTGACATTCAAACGATGGAAGCCAACTTCTTGCCCAATGAATGTTCAGGTAAAGTTTCATATCTTATTTCTCAAGTAAAGCAGTCCTCAAAAAAATATTTTGCTAGATGATAATCAAAGACGTTCTAACTTTAAAGTCTTCGAGACAGATTTAAAAAATACTCGAAGATGATTAGTATTTATTGTAATAGCTTTAAGTAAGGCTTTGCAACTAATAGTAACCCTTATATTCTTTTGAGTGGTTTTACTTTTGTGCCCTAGGCCGTTATTAATGATTTGATTAAATACGAAATTTGTAAACATTCAAATTATTCACTTTTTCGTTCTCTTAGTTATTAATTGGCACAAATTTAGTACTCCCAGTTCAGCAATTAGATATGGCAAAATATTTTTTTATAACAAACTCATGTATTTAAGTCTTAATCTATGTACAATTTATATTAGGTTAAAAAATTTAAATTGAATATATGAAGACCAAGATGTTGTGGCCTCTGGTGTGGTCGCAGTCTCCTTTTGATTGATAGAAGTGGGTTGACCTCGTTGTCGCAACTTGGTCTTGTTTTCAGGGAGACCATGTAGCGCACCTAGCCCGAAGTCGTCTGCCATAGTAACAGTCATGATTCCCAGCATCTAACAGTGGACATTCTCAAACGTTTCGCCGGCAACGTCGTCGGCATCGTCAGTGAGCCTTGACATTCTCCGCACCAAGATACGAACTCGTCAAGAGTTCGTATGAAGACCAAGATGATGTTGCCTTATGTATGGTCGCAT